AAGGGATTCAGCTAGGGCACGATTCGGTCCCAAGAGGAGAGGGGAAGCTTCGAGAGAAATGAAAATAAAAAAATGGATTTTTAAAACCCCTTTTACTAAAAAAATTATTATTTATGTTTTTTTATTAAAAGAAAATATCAAATTTTGTGCGACTCACTTATGCACAGCGCCCCAACAAAAATAGGTGTCCTTACTAGCTAAAACTGATGTTCAGGACGTGACGGCGCAGTCCGTTTCATCTTCCAGAATCATCCGGACAAATTCGTCGACGATAGCATCAAATTAACTTCAAATCGCGTGCGGCGCATCAAATAAAATTATTTTGACTCGATCGGAGCCGTTTAACGAGTATATCATTGACCGATTCTCACATAAGTGACAACCAAAGTCAAATAAACTACTCGCGGCAGAAAGTCCAATGTCACACACACGTCTTGGGGTCCACTTTATGTCTTTCAAATTCCTATAGGAATTCAACAAGAGTTTCAATATGCCAGCTTTAATCAACTCAACTAGACGTTAAGAATTAGAAACCATCCATATGAAACTTCAAATAGCGAAGAAATAGCTTGAATTTTTAAGTATTGTGGGTCCCAGTCTAGTCCTCTAAGAGAGTCAAAATATAGAAATCCTAAGACTATATCTTAGGGTATCTATGAAAAGGAAAAGAAGACCTCAAAAATGAGGTCAACATCCTTGAAATTAAAAAATGCTTTTATCATTGGGACCCGACTTTACTCCTGCCCAAGCGCTGTGAATAAATTGAACGGAAACAAGATACGAAATGCCTATGGAAAAATACTTTCGGTGAAAAACCGATAGGCGCACCACCTCTTTTTCCATTCACCGTCTATTTAGGGTTTCGAGTCTTCATTCGCCGGTTGAAGTACATTCGCCAATTCAACGCTAGAGTTCAGCTTATCAAGATGGAAGCCGAGCCTTCTAAGATGGCAACCTAACCTAAGAAAACCCTATGACAGTAGAAGCCAAAGAGCCGTTGAGAATGGAAACTGAAGATAAGCCGTCGAGAATGGAGTCCGATGAACTAAAGAGAACAAAACCAATGATCGTAAGAAGAAGGTTATTGAAGAGGGTTCCTCCAGGTAATATTTTATTTTCTTGGTTGTTTTTTCTTTGAAAAGTTTATCAACATTACGTGATAATACGAGAACATATCCTAATTAAAATGCATTTTTTCTTCTAAATAATACCATGGTAAAATGCAGTTAATATCGTAATACTACCTAAAACGTAATAAAATTATTGTTCCTCGAGGTTATAATTATTATTACAGTTATAAAATACAATTTTTTTAAATAAAATACAGTTCTCCTATACAAAACCTGATTAATACTGACTAATAAAGGCAAATAAAACCGTAATAATTCCATAATACTAGTTAAACAGTTAATGCCGTAATATAACGTAATAATACCATAATAATACAAGAATAATACCATCAAAATATAAGCTTAATAATATTGTAATATAACCGTTTCGTAGTACTACGTGAATAATACCACCAAAATATAACCATAATAATACCGTAATAATACCATAATAATACAACCAAACCCGAATAACACCTTAATAATGACATTGAAATGCCATTAAAATAACACCTGATATTTGTTGCATAGTATTATTTTTGTAGGTTTATGAACCCAAGATCAATGAGTCGTAGATGCCAACCATATGTAGTGAGAGGTGTGATGGATAAGTTCAGACATTCAATATCTGAGGACATGAGAAATGAGCTTAAAGCAATGAATGTCGAGCAATTCTTGGAGCTCCCTCCTTATCCTCAAGAGAATGTCTTGACACTACACATTTTGCAATATTGATAGCATGATAAAATTGTTTTCAAAATGGGTGGGAAAGAGCTTTGCTCAATGAAGTTGCCCAGCTAATTGGCATGTCAAATAGAGGTGCAGTGCCATAGTGGAGTAAACGTCCATCTTGTGGCGTGGATGCCCAGCAGATGAAGAATAATCTATTGGAATTCGCAAGAGGGGGTCTTCTACCCCTTTTGCTAAATTGTTTATAAATTTTTTGTTATCAAATCTATTTTTTTCCTCCAGTAATTTTAGTGTACCCGAAGGACTTAATAACTTTGGGGAGAATATAAAGACTTTTGCCTCCAGGAATCTGAATGCATCGCTGGTTCCAATCCCTGATTTTGTCATTGATCTGAGGATATCGACATTGATGTCACACATCTTTCTATTGGAACACAATAGATGTTTGTCACCGTCCTCTGCCAACGGATGGTTGTGACTTTCTATGAATTTCTTAACCGACCAGTTGTCTTCTAAATCAACAACATATCAGATCATGACTGGATAACTAGTCCTTGTGTTTGCTCTTTTGAACCTCACCATGATATTGTCCTTCAACTCTTTTTTGAAACCAGTCTTACCACAAACAAAGTTCTTTTTCTTGATCTTCTTTGAATTCGGTCAGAAACTACTGTGGTCCTTTCGCACAGTAAATCCAATATGGTGTGCATATACACAATATTGTTCATAGACTTCCTTCTCATTGTGGATTACTACATGAACCAATTTCTCTGCCTTAGGTGACTGCAAATTTAAACATCAACATTAGCACCCTAAAAAGAAATCAATACAAGGCTACAATACATAAATCACACCATCATAGTATCATAATATAACCCAAATAGCACCATTGCAATGCCAATATAACATACCAATCAAATCCCGCTAAGAAATGTTACTAGCATCATTGTTAAAAGCCTATAATAGACACATAACACCGTGATAAAACCACCATAACACCCTGATAACACAATTAGAACACCAATATAAGACTCCGATAAAACATCTAATTAGATCAAATAACACTAGGATAACACCATGATAATACCAAAATAACATCACATTACTACCCCACCATAAGAAAATCAATACAATGCTACAATACATAAATCACACCATCATAATACCATAATATAACCCAAATATAACCCAAATAACACAAATAACACCATTGCACTGCCAATATAACAGACTAATCAAATCCCATTAAAAAATGTTACTAGCATCATCGTTAAAAGCCTATAATAGACACTATACCGTGATAAAACCACAATAACACCATGATAACATAATTAGAACGCTAATACAAGACTCTGATAAAACGTTTAATTAGATCAAATAATACTAGGATAACACCATGATAATACCAAAATAACACCACATTACCACCCCACCATATAGGAGATCTTACAGGCAAAAAACACCCAAATAACACAACAATAACACCAACATAACACCATTAAACGTCAACATAATACACCAAAACAAAACCAAGTCAGCATATCCAATATTACCTTAATAACACTATAATATTACCAAAATAATACTAAATCCCCATGATAGTAACATTACAAGCAAATGTACTGTAACACTTTAACACCATTACGACGATGAAAATAGCTACCCATTAACACCATCACAATGTTGAGAACAACACTTCATTATGACAGTTATTTAACCCACTAAAACTATGAACAATCAGAAATGAAAAACAACTCAAAAAATAACCAGTATAGCACCGTGATATTACCTAAATAACACTACGTTTCACACTAACCGAAACTTAGCATTACACGTCAGATAAAAACAGAGCAAACTTCATTAACAAAACAAATATTCCTTGAAACCTAAATCTATAGTCAAACAAGTATAACTTACCTGCAGAATTCCTTCTGTCGTATCTAAACTCAGCTCATTCTCATGATTCTCGAAAATATTTTGAGATTCCAGCTCATTGTCATGTTTCTCGCAAGTATTTTGAGATCTTAGTAATATTTTCTCGTCAAGAAATACTTCCATCGAACTCTATCCACCGAATACAAATGGATCCTAGAAAAACAATGAAATGAGAATATCCCGAATCCCTATACCTAAAAGAGACAAAATAACTTTTTCCAATTGGCGGGAAGCGAAAATGACAAAAGTGCACTTTTTTTTCTGCCACTTTTTTTCTGCTTGGGCAGGATTCGGGTCAGGTCGGACGTAATATAATAGAGTTTTTAACATATTTTGCAATAGTGGGGCTGGATTTTACGTGACATTTTCTAATTAGCAACCACACGCAAGCTTCCATATGTTGCACATATCAAATAATTTTTCTATTTTTAGACAGTTCAAATCCCGAAAACCCTTAATTTGATAATAATCTTTTAACAGTATTATATGACTAGAATTCTCTAGCGAATTGGTATCCCAAGAAACCCCTCTTTGGCTTTGTAGCAACTCAATCCTTTAATTTTTCAGATGAGATAATCTAAAACAATTTAACTCAAACACCACTCAACCCTTTTAGGAGATAGTGACCCCAAACCCCAACCTTTAACATGTTGAACCCAAAGACCCTTGGCAACCCAATTTAAATCTTTTTGAACCATAAGATTGATCTTATCATAATAGTTTCTCATATATCTAGCCGATGAACGAACCTAGAATAAATTTAACATCAAATCCGCTTGGCTTAGCCATATAATGTGGTAAGACTAAGAATTTAATTTACTATATTATGTATTGAACACACAAATTAGGAAAAAAAAACTCAACATTATGATGTATTTAGCTCTAAAATAGACCAACATGATCATTGGGTGTGTTGAACTAATACATTTTTGCTAGCTTGACCCTTTAGACCACTTAATGAGGAGAAGTATTAAGTCAAAATAGTTATACTTTTATTGTGATGGAAAGTTTTGGGAGGTATAAAGATAAGAAGTAAAGTTTAAGCGCTAGATATGTAAATACATGGGAATTGGATGGTATGCATGTAAATGCCCCAAGATTCAATCATTCAGATCTTCTCCCATGATTTGGTAGCTATACAGAGTACATGCATTAGTCATGACCAAGCTGGATCAGATGGTTAGGATTCCTAACCGTGATGGTGACTTGGGAGAGTCTAAATACCCTTCAAGTATGCCAGGAAGAGACCCAACTGAGCACTGATCATGCACCTCCTCACCCCCCATTCCGCCATTAACGGAGTCCACATACTCAGAGTTTATTGCTACAGCGTTGAGGAGAAGTAAAGCAAAAAAACAAGATGGTGGCAAAAAGTCGTTGGGTTTCACAATTCAAAATAAGCAACGAAGCCAGGCAAGCAAAGCTAAGCCTGAGTGCATTAATCAGTACCTTGGACTTTAAGTTTACTTGGGATAAAACGTAGCAGCAAGGAACAAAGATAGGCAATAGCCACCCCCACAATCTCCACCTCCATAATCCACCTTCCAAGCAAAGCGACTTTTCCAGTCATACAACTTACTAGATACTATATACCGTATGCAAATTACAAACAAGACCCTCCCTTACTATCTTTTCCAAGCATACCATTATATAGATAAATCTCACAAGCTCACATTTTTATTGTAACAATCTTGCTTAGGACATAAAACCTTCTGAAAGATGGGACTAAAATCATGGTTGATCACTTTGCCGCTTGTGCTGATCACCATGCCTGCTGTCGTGAGAGCTCAAGGCACTGATTTTGATGCTGAGCAGAGATTTAGCAGTGGCATCCAGCTCTGGGGAGGGGAAGAAGATGAAGAATTGAAACCACTTTCAGCATCAGAATTCCCGGTATGGAGAAGCAGTGGAGCAGAAAAGAAGGTGGTGAACGTTGAAAGCTTTGGAGCAGTAGGAGATGGCATTGCAGATGACACACAGGTAAAGCTTTGTCCTTTCATGGTAGAATTTTCTTAAATTATTCACCCATTCTGTTTCAAAACCCAATCAAAGCTAGATTGATCAGTTAATTGCAGTGTAAAAGAAATTTAACCAAATTTAACGCGCAATGCATGCAATCATTGTAATTTTTTCTTAAACTTTGAGTAAATAATTTAATAATTTTCATCCAGGCCTTTGCGAGTGCATGGAAGAAGGCATGCTTTTTGAGTAATGCAGTTTTTTTAGTCCCTGAAAAGCGCGTTTATAAGGTTAATGTTACAAAATTCAGAGGGCCGTGCCAAAACAAACTAATCATCCAGGTACACACACTAGTTTTTTTTTTTACTCGAGATAAATATGATCATATCATTTATATGAAATTTTGCTACATCCTCACTTCACTAAATTGAGAAGGTGTTCCAATCAGGCCAACATAAAAGCTTGGTTTTTAATAAGAAATTGGCACATGGAATCTAAAACAATGTTCTTCCGGGCATAAAAAATTTCATTAACAAAAAAGTCTCCACTATTGTCACAAAACAGTTCCAATTTGTTAGCCCATTAAGATGGCTTTTATAACTACTGCAAATAAGAGAATACATCTTTAATGCAAAGTGATTGTAAACTTACTGCATAATTATTGAAAATTGTTCAGATAGCTGGAACTATTGTAGCCCCAGAAGAGCCCAGAAATTGGGATCCAAAAAATCCAAGAGTTTGGCTAGTTTTCTCAAACCTGGAAGGAGTCAGGATCCAAGGTGGCGGGATCATCGACGGATCTGGCAGTAAATGGTGGGCTTCCTCCTGCAAGATCAACAAGACAAACGTAAATATATTAATCTTTATAACCCAGTTCTCATCAAATAGATTACACTGATGACCGGATCATTAACACTTTTTTCTCCACTTCTTTGTTTCTTTTGGCTGTTTACCATATTGACAGCCATGCCGAGGAGCACCAACGGTATAGCATCTCCCAAACTCCAGATACAGCTGACACCTGCATATAATTTCACGAAGTCTTATAAAGAAAGAAGAGAGTAATAAAAAAAAAAACTGTTTCACCAAAATAAGAAATAAGAACTGCAGTTCTTTGAAATGCTTATTTCAGCTCTTAAAGTAACATTTTTCAGTTTATGATGCATGAACACTTCTAATTAAGGAACAGTGCAGTATCAGATTAGTATTTGATATGGACACACCTCCATCACGGGCAAACATGACATAGAAGTTTCTGATTTAAATAGTATTGCATGTCCTACATTAATGAATTAAAAATTTTTTAAAATACTTTTAAAGATATACATATCAATCTATCTATAAGATTAAAATTTTAAAGAAATTCTTTTATTTATTTATTTAAAATTTAAATTTATTTTGAAGTTAGAATAAAGCAGTTAGTACTTATTTTTCATATATTATAAACTACATAATATTTATGTATCTTTTAACGTTTAAAATTTGATGTTATTAATTTTTTTTTTTTTATCATCTCTTCTTCATTTTTCTTAATGATATGTTTTTATTTAATTTTTATCTATATTTTATAATTTATATTAGGAAGATTTTCATACACACAACTCAATTCTTATGTATTTACATATCTAACACGCCAACTTCAATTTATGCATATATGCCGCCTTATGAATGCATGAAAATGTTAAAATTTTATAATTTTAGACGTGAAATGAAAGATTTTGGTGGTAATAATGTAAAAAAGTGAAGTTTGGATGTTAAATATGTCATTACATAAGAATTAGGTGGCTTATTTATATTATAATATCATATCCATGTATCCGTGTCCTATATTTTTAATAATAGAAGTGTCACGTGTCCATATTGTGTCCATATCCTTGTATCTGTATCAATGCTTCATAAGCTTTTAGTAGAAGATAGAATATATAAACTTGCATCTCAAAAGTAGTCCAGAGCCTACTACTATAGAAATTACAGCAAAGCACTACATCTCACCCACTTTGCTTGCAGGCACTGACCATTGACTCAAGCTCAAAGATTAGGGTGAAGGGACTTGGCATCCAGAGTGCTCAACAGATGCATTTCACCATTTCACGCTCTGCAGCGATACGGATCTCCGGGGTTCGAGTAAAGTCTCCCCCAGATAGCCCCAACACAGATGGCATTCACATCAGTGAGTCCACTGATGTGTCCATCCAGAATTGCCACATTGGAACAGGTGCGCAAAATTTTGGACTTGTTTCATGCAATAACACTTCTTCCATCTCATAAAATCACCAAAAGATAGATACTATTTTCCTTGCCACCACCAAATTGAAAACATGAATTATAAGTTTATTTCTTACTGGACATGAGTTACATTTAACCAATCCAATAATAAGAGGGTACGGCATTGTCATGATAACGCAGTGAATGATCATTGACAAGCAAGGAAAGTAGGAAAACTGACTCTTGAGTAAGAAAAGTAAAGCGAGGGCTCAGCTCTTGCAGAAATTGCAGTGCTTGCGTTTTAAATATGTTACATTGTTTTTCTTCTTATAAGATATTTCACTGACAAACATTACAGTAAAAGAGAATTTTTTGGGTCATTTACATACATACCACACAATTCCTAGGCATTTACATATCTAAGACGTAAACTTTGCTTTTTACATTTATATCATACAAATCTTTCATATCACATCCGAAGTACCACTACTTTAACTTTTAAGAGGTGAAATACTATTTTTCATGTAAAGGCAAGGTGACATATATGTAAGAAAATGAAGTTTGAGTGTTAGATATATAATTACGTAGGAATGGAGTGGTATATATGTAAATCTTCCTATTTTTTTTTCTCATCAATAGGAGACGATTGCATTTCTATCGTGAATGCCAGCTCGAACATTAAGATGAAGAACATTGACTGTGGACCAGGACATGGAATAAGGTACATTAACTACACCCACACAACACGATAATACACTAACATAGAATATGTTCCCTTTCAATCATTGATAGAGATATTTAATGATTTAATTTCCCCACTATTTCAGCATAGGAAGCCTTGGGAAGGACAACTCTGTCGGCATAGTTACAGGCATTGTTCTCGACACAGCAAAACTCACAGGAACTACAAATGGCTTACGAATCAAAACCTGGCAAGTAAGCATTCTATAATTACACAATTTAGTTATTGTAAATGGGATTCTAAGCATAAGTTTGCAGTGCATTTGACGTGTTTCTTTGAATGAAAAGCTCAAGCTCATTGATCAATTAGCTGATTGTTTTAACAGGGGGGATCAGGATATGTTAGATCTGTTCGATTTGAAAATGTAAAGATGGATAATGTTGAGAACCCGATCATCATTGATCAGTTTTATTGTGACTCCCCAAAAGTTTGTAAGAACAAGGTAATGATTGACTATACTATGTTTTCTAATGAGCAAATCAAATGAAATCTATGGTTTTAATCAAGGTTGTGAAGAATGGACGGGATATTAAACCGGAAGAAAAAGATGTTCAAGATTCAATGGTTCAATTGGGAATTATCACATAACATATCATTATTATCACTTCTTAAAAGTGAAATAATCCTTTTCATTCATAGGTTTGAAGCACCAAAGTACTATATATATATATATATATATATATGTAAATATGGAGGTTTATATATGAGATATGTAAGTACATAAGATTTGTGTGCGCGGTGTGTAAATTTAGTACATAAGAATTGTGTGCTAGGTATGTAAATTTCCCTATATAATTTTCTAAGTGAGAACACTTCTCACTTAAATATTTTATAATAAAACAACAAATCAAAATTTTAAGACAAACATTTTAAATTTTTTTCTATTTTAATCTAAATTTTTTATTTCTAATCTTTAAAATCAAAAACAAGAAATTGATCAACATTAGAAAAAACTGATTCATAAAAAAGATCTTGTCCGATTCTATACGGAAACAATTTTGGGACCTGAGCCCCCCAGAAGACCATTTCATAATTGAGCCCATCAAACTAGCCGGTCCAATCCAATTTTAAGACAATAGTAAAAATACTAATATAATGATCAAAGATCTGCTGCCAGGTTCGACTGATTGAACTACTAAACATTAATATGCAATTAAATTTGATTCTCTGATAATTGCAGACAGAAGCAGTAAAGATAAGCCAAGTCATGTACAAAAACATCAGTGGGACTTCAAGAACTTCCAAAGCCATGAAATTTGCGTGCAGCGACACAGTGCCGTGCAGCAACATAGTTTTGAACAACATTAACTTGGAGAGAGAGAATGGAACTGCAGAGACTTACTGCAACTGCGCAATGGGGTTCGATTATGGATTTGTGAGGCCAGCAGCAGACTGCCTGCGCAATGATGTTAGCTCCGGTTGCAACGGTGGTTCGCTAAACAATAACAAGAAGCATGTTGAAATCAATACAGAACTATGAGAGAAATTATGAACTGAAACAAATTAAACTTTAAAATATATAGTCAACAGAAGCCCAACTATTCTGATATGGCCACTTTATTCCCAAAGTTCTGTAGTGCTCCTGTTAGTCTTGTAACTATAGAAAATTGATCCAAAATGGTCTATCTTGTAGAAATCATGACAGAAAAATGATCTTAGTTTTCAAAATTGGTCCCAATTTAGTACTTGAGGGATTGATTGAGATCAATTTTCAATAATTGAGAGACAAAATTTAAGCACTGCAAAATTTTGGCAATGAATTGGCCACATCCGAATAGTAAGTGAATCATTTTAAAATTTAACCCTATAGTCCACAACTTAATGTTATAATAGAACTTAAGGTGCTTTGCTAGCATAGCCACATGAATGCTGATTCATACCTGTGAAATTTTTATAAATATAGATTCATGTATTCATTATTTAACTGATCATATTGCAGATATAATGTGATATGGTCAATATAATTACAATTGGTCATATAGAAATTATTTTCTTCTATGATTTTCAACTTCTAAGGAATTTTAAAAGTGTTTTTTTATGCACCTAAGAAAAATGAATTATAAGATAATTGTCATGTTAAGTGCTACCAATGAGGAATTCAAAGTGTGAGAAGGAAGGCAGCAAAAATAACAAGAAATTCTCCTTTTACAAAAATGAAAATAAACTATTGTTGGTAAACAAACATGATGACATAGAAGAGTGTTGGGTAATGTGGAGACCCGGTCCACCCAAATTTAATTGATTTCCTAATTAAGAATCTCATCTACCGCTCACCTACTTTTCCACCTACCGCTCACCTACCACATCCCACCTACCGCTCACCTACCACATCCCACCAACCGCTCGCATACCTCCCATCTATCGCTCTCATGATTGTTATAAATAGCCTCTTCTGGCTTAAAGGAGAAGCTAAGCCAAGCAAGACCAAACCAAACCCTCTTGAGAGCTAAGAGAAAGAGAGGAAGAGAGAGAGAGAGAGGACGTGAGAGAAGTAAATAGAGATTTTTTTGTAGACGTCAAGGCGCTCGAGGTGTAATTCCTCGAAGAAATAAAATCCTCTGCAGCTCCGTCGATGTAGGCAAATTTGTCGAACCACGTTGTGTCGCTCTAGTGTTTTTTTACGTGCAATTTTTATCATTCCATTTTTCACTTTATTGCCGTCGTTTTTCACAACAACTGGTATCAGAGCTTTGGGTTCGAATCTAAGAAAGAATGATGGGCAGAGACGAAGTGATGACATCAGAGATCGAGAAGTTCAATGACATATATTTTGCTTACTGGAGGATGGAGGATGCAGATAGAGAGGATGCAGATAGAGGACTACCTCTATGGAAAGAAACTTCATCTTCTGTTACTGAGAAAACAATCAGAAAAGATGAACGAGACAGAATAGAATATGTTGGATCGACAGGTTCTGGCGGTCATATGATTAACCTTGTCGAGATCAGTTGCCCACAACATCATCAAGGAGAGGACTACTGCAGATCTCATGGCGGCTTTATCAGGTATGTATGAAAAGCCATCGATGAATAACAAGGTGCATTTGTTGAAAAAGTTATTCAATTTGAAGGCGGCGGAAGGTGTGTCTACTGCTCAACAGCTAAATGATTTTAACACTATCACAAATCAGTTGTTGTCTATTGAAATTGATTTTGATGATGAGATATGTGTGCTGATATTGTTAGCTTTATTGCCAAATAGATGAGAAGCCAAGATGATGACAGTTAGTAGTTCTGCAAGTAAATCTAAGCTGAAATATGATGATATTCGTGATTTGATTTTCACTAAAAAGGTGCGCAGGAAGGATTCCGATGAGGTCTCATGTTCAAGTTCGGCGTTGAATGTTGATTCCAGAGGGAGATCACATGCAGAAACACAAACAGAGGAAGATCAAAATCAATGTCTGGTCAGTAGACAACCTGCTGAAATTGTGGCAAGGCTGGCCACATAAAAAGAAACTGCAGGAATCCTAAGAAGAAGGAGAATGATGACGCTAATGTTGTAACTGAAGAAATACATGATGCACTATTTCTGGCAGTTCATAGTTCTGTTAATGACTGAATACTAGATTCAAGGGTTTCCTTCCATACATCTTCCCGTCGGGAGTTAATGCGAAAGTATGTTGTAGGTAACTTTGGGAAGATATATCTGACTAAGGGAAAAACTCTGGACGTGGTGGGGATGAGAGACGTTGATATTGCACTCCCTAATAAGAGCAAATGGACTTTGCAAAATATAGACATATTCCTGAGTTGAAGAAAAACTTTATCTCTATTGGACAACTCAATAATGATAGTCATTCGGTAATGTTCTCAGATAGCACCTGGAAGGTTACCAAAGGAGCATTATTACTGGCTCGGGGTAAAAAAACTGACACACTATATATGATTACAGGTTTACTCAGGCGAGAACACATGAGTCAAAGATGCATTATGGGGAAGCAAAAGAAGGTCAATTTCCTAAAAAGTGGTAGAGCGCTAAAGGCAGAAAAATCAGACCTTTTACAGACAAATGGTGGAGAACCACAGAGTTATGAAGAAATTTTGCAAGATGAGAATTCAAGCAAGTGAGAGCTGACCAAGAAGGAGGAGATGGATTCCCTGCCAGGGAATCAGACTTGGGAGCTGCAGAACTTCCATTAAAGAAGAAGACATTGCACAACAAGTGAGTGTACCAGTTGAAGACTGTGTTTGGTGGCAGTAAAAGGTATAAGACTGGACTTGTTGAAAAGGGCTTTCAGCAGGGGCATAATATTTCTCATGCAGTGGGAGTTATAAGCAGATACATGAGTAACTCAGGAAAGAACTTGATGGTACAAGACTACGTTGACGGTGATATGTCAACTGATGGTGTTACTCGTAAGAAGCTGAAGTCGCGCTCAACTTCAGCTGGTCTTCTGGCATGAAGATAAGGACTTCGAGTTGCAGAGGTGGAGGATATCGTGTTTAAGGAAAATATTGTACAACTAGTAGATGATGCAGCTAGTAGGTGATGCGGTCAATGTCCTAGTCTCCAAGTGAGAGAATTGTTAGGTAATGTGGAGACCCGGTCTACCGAAATTTAATTAGCTTCCTAATTAAAAATCTCACATACCGCTCACCTACTTTCCCACATACCGCTCACTTACCACAACTCACCTACCGCTCACCTCACCTACCGCTCTCATGATTTTTATAAATAGTCTCTTTTGGCTTAAAGGAGAAGCCAAGCAGTCCTCTTGAGTGCTAAGAGAAAGAAAGGAAGAGAGAGAGACAGAGGAAGGAAGGGAAGAAAATAGAGATTTTTCATGTAAACGTCGAGGCGCTCGACGGTGTAATTCCTCAAAAAAATAAAATTCTCTGCAGTTCCGTGGACGTAGATAAATTTGCCAAACCACGTTGTGTCGCTCTAGTGTTTTTTTGCGTGCAATTTTTCTCATTTCATTTTTCGCTTTATTGTCGTTGTTTTTCACAACAAAGAGGATTAGGAAGAGTTGGATATTAGATGAAACAATATGTAGGTTGAACTAGAGAAGAGAAGCAAAAAGATTTTACATAGTACTGAAGCTTTTATGGTGCCACTAAAGTGTTGTTGCCTCGTTAATTTTTGAGGATTTCTAGTTCCTAAATAAATTCAATTAAGTTAAGCTTCATCCCTTACTGAAAAAGGACATTAAGTGTTATGCAATTTTAATGAGAAGTCTTTAATCTCATAATTCCTTCTTTTTAAATTAAAAAAAAAATGTTTAAATCAAAGAAAATCATGTTAGACACTCAATTACTAATATTCATTTACATCCTAACCTGAAATAAATTTCATATTTCCTTAATGTAATTTTTTTTCTTACTTCTCAATGTTAATAGACCAAGCTATATGAAATTAGGCAATGAATAAAAAAATCTCAGCAAGCTTAAGAATTACTTGTGGCATCCTGATGATAACTCCTCCCTCAAACTTGTTCCACACCGTACTGGCTACATATGAATGGCACACAACAAAATATACAATAAAACAGACTATGAATCACAACTCAACTATAATAGGTAAAACAAAATCTGGAAACATGCTATCAAACTGCTCAGGGTAAAAGGTGCAGGGAAACAGAAAGTACATGTAGCAAGAAAATGTAATGCTAGAAAAAGTAGACTACAATCACATCAATCAAATCACATTCAATTATAAGATCACAAAGATAACATCCAAAGTCAAACTGGTACAAGAATCAATTGCAAAAAAGAAAAGCAATCAGTAGAATAAAACATAGCATCAGACAAAATACAATCTCTCTACTCTCCTCAATCACTCTCATCCATAGGGTCTCGGGAAGGGTTGCCTCTGGTTGGTCTCCAAATAGTGAAAGGTGGTGGTGGCGGCCCCGATCCCATGCTCCAATGCTCTTGGAATACTTCCACTTGACCTTAAATGTACTCGTACTGTTGCTGGTGCTAGCTTGCTTAATACGCGAATTGGCGGTGAAGATCGTCAACCTCCCATGACATGACATCCTGAGTGGTACGAAGCTCCCTCACTAAGTCACTCTGCAACGTCATCATCCACCTCATATCTCGGGACAGTTCAACAAGGATGGAGTCACGAGATACCGAGGATCGGCGTCTGGATGAACTCTCTCCTTGCTTTGGAAAGAAACAGATGGTGAGGCATATGCATCGACGAGCGACTAACTAATCAGCTTCTACGGCTGCAGAAGCTCCTCATCATATCCCACCATTAATCCCCCTCAAACATAGGTTATGATGCCCTAAACCTACAGTAGATTGTCGACTAGCAATGTGGACTATGAAATCGTGAATCAACTGCCCTATGTCAATAGAAATGCCTTTCTGAATACAATAGTTCAGAATGACGCCCTCCTTCATAACATCAGTCAAACTAGTGGCGGGGAGCAATCTAGCAACAATGAAATAATGTCAGGCACGGGACTTCTTAGTTAAATAGGTCATGAGCAAATTAAGTAGAACTTCCCCATCATCGCTAGGACGTGTCCTCCACGACCTTGTGGAAGTAGTGAGTGGATTGATCACCTCCTGGTAATCAGATGAGGTGAGGATAAAATAACCACAATTTGGAATGTTTGGGACATCAAAATTATGATTGATAGTGTTAGGGTCAAAAGGAACTGCCTTCATTCTCACAAAAACTCTATCGTCTGTGGATTCTTTTGCATTTGCATAGAACTCACGAACGAGAGCAAATCCGGTGGGTTTGGCATGATACACAAAAAATTGCGAACTACGTTCTATCTCCCTGGGGAAATTGAAAGGTACATTTTGGGATGAGCTTTTTTTTTCATATCAAGCTCAAAAATCTTTGTTAAGCGGTAGCGCTCACAAAGCATTTCCTACCGTAGTTGGAAGAAGAAGTTCCTTTCCCACACATTCTAGGAGCCATGATAGAAAATACACAAAGCAATGAAGCTCCAAAAGACAAAAAAAAAATTCTCAACATGAAAAAAAAATGAGGAATGAGGTGAGATCCACCAACAAAAAAATCTTCCTCTGGCTAAAAAATAGAGTACAAAATAAAAGAAGACTAGCCAGAGAATAATTACACCAAAATCCTTCTTCTCCTAGCCTGATCTACCCGTTAGCTAAGTTTTCGACAATCTTCCGGCAAGGAATCCAATGATCGTAGGCTCTAGGGCTTGGAAATCGGTGCCTACAAAGGACCTCACACGAAGAAGATGAGGAATAGTAAGGGATTTGACACATTTAAATTTATATAATGCCTCATTTCACGGGAAAAAAATTGTGTGCATAACAAGTACGCAGCGCTGCGTACATAATGGAAGTTATATGGGCATTATATCGACATTATGTTCACATTATATCCCGTGTAACCTCCATATAACTTCCATGTAACATACATGTAACCTACAAATATGTAAAAACACAAGCGCGAAACTTATTTGTCAGAGTAGCTCCCGAGTCTTCTCTGGTTTCTTGCAATTGGTTTCTCTTCTGTGTTTTTTCGGTCTCGATGGGTAGGCCCGTCATAGTTATTACAGGGTTTGTTTCTCTTGAAACAACTTTTTCAATGTCAACAATCATCATGAAATCATTTTTAATACATTTCTCTAGACTTCGATGGTTGTGAGGGTCTAGAGCGAGAGTAATATTCCTTAGCCTTCAAGGGCTCTAGGAGCTCTGCTAGCGTTTTTGGCTTCTAAAGAATAAGAGTGTATCAAAATGGCCCTTCACACAGATCTTGGACCAAGGAAAAATGAGTGAGTTTGAGATCTTGAATGTCGAATGATTTTCGTTGGAAGCAGGTAATGAAGCTCCTCAAACTTTCGGTGAGCTCTCGATGTATTTTCATGAGTTCTTGGGAGCTCTTCGATGGCTTCTACGCGCCAGTGAACTGTGCTAAGAACATATTCTCGAGTCCGCGGAAGGAGGTGATAACTCACATGGTAATATGAGCAAACATGCGTGGGACTGATTCTTTTAGCATCACAAAGAATAAACAACATTTCAACATCCTGAGTAGACAAACGCTTGACCTGAAGGTTGCCAAGTGCTCAGAGGGAGCATATTTCTCTTTGTAAGATTCCAACGATGGAATCTTGAATTTCCTTGGAGCATGAACTTCTAAAATTTCTCTTGAGAAGGTAGTCTTTGTCTGTCTCCATCTTCTTCTTCCTCTTCTGACTTATTTACCATGGTAGTCTGGAGAAAATCTCGGCCTTCTTCTTTCTTCAATGGAGTCTGCAACAAATCCTTTCTCTTTTGAACAATCAAAATCATTCATAAGCAGTATTCCTTGCTCGAAGATTAGGTAAAGAGCTCTTCTTACTCTGGCTCTTGCTAAATAAGCAAGCGACTATTGTCTTGGATGTTCTTGTCTTTGTGTCTCTAGTGATGCTGCTCCTTGCTGCGGTGCACCTTCTACTATTGGTAAATTTTGAGCATGGTTTACTATTCTGGACAATCCGATATAGGCACTTGTCCGAGAATGAGTTTGGAATGCTTCCCTCATATCATGCATTTCTTTTCTCAACTCGTTGATTTGTTGAGTCATAAAGTCCCTTGGTAAATTACATCATTCTCAGGGGCATTCTTCCGTTATAAAAGGTCTTTCTTGTAAAGTTTACGTATGAACTCAACACTTATCACTCTTTTTAAGATGTTGAATCCTTCTATAAGTAAGGTTCCGTATTGTCCGTAAATACATACAACTTGGCAGAAGACCTTGTATCGTGGAAAGAGCGCTAGAGAGAGAGAAAGAAATAGAACAGATCCCTTAAAGAAAACCTTGGGGAATATATTAATTTTCGGTCTCCAGCGAGTCGACGAAAGGTAGCTTCTTGGAGGTTTCTTCATTTTAGAGATCGTTGGAAAGGGAGAGAGAGAGAGAGCTCTCAGGAAAAACATCCAAAACCTTTCAAGAAAGGAAGCGAGAAAAAATGGGTTCTTTCTCTTTCTTCTTATGGACCCTTTTATACATGAGATAAAAAGATTATAATATTACCTAAGTAGTACATCAAGAATTGTATTGTTGACTTTTCTCTGTTGCATTTATAGAAAGTCAATAGCATGGATATGATGTATTTCCATTTAATGTTAGATATCGCCAGTACGTCGGCCATCCACTATATCTGGGTGATGGGATTGAATCTTAGTTCAAGCAACATCTTTAAATGAGAGATTGATGAATGTCCTTATTGATCATGATGCTTTCTCGAATTGTTATCTTTATAGAGATGGATGCAAGTTATCTTCTCGGGAAAGATGAAGATGAGCTGGATCAACCACTTTGACATGTGAGCTTGATTCAACCACTTCGATATATAGACATGATTCAACCACTTTGATATATGGGCAAGATTCAACCACTTCAGCAGATAGGATTAGTTTATACACTTTGACAGGTGGGCTTAATTCTGCTAGAAAAAAAATCAATTAAAACATCCACGTACCCATATTTGTGTATACATACTCATTTAATAAATTTAGACAAGCTAAGAACAAATAATTGTTTATTACAAAAAATTTAAACATGCAATATATGAATATCTTTGAAAGCAGAATTTTTGCCAAACATGAACAATTTAAATTATAATCAAGCGAAGTCCAATTCATGATGTGGGCTTGGCTTGATTACAACCCCATCACTCAACACCATTCAACTCTCATAGCCGCACATCCTTCTTGAGTATAAGCGCAGCCAACCCAATTCAACTAGTTTGGCATATATGGTGCTCACATTCTATGATATCTATTGCATGCTTTCAAATACATGCAGCAAAAAATTGTGCTTGGCAGGTATTTTTACATTCCAATTTCAGGCAAGACACAGAGATTCAGACAAATTTCCATGTAGTATTGCTTATTACAAAAAAATCATTTGTAATTTCGCACAACTCAAGCTACTGAAACAAACAACCAAATTCATCCATCTTCTGATTCACAGATTTCTCCCCCAAAACAACTACCGCTTCGTTCTACAGCTGACGTCTCTAAGAGCCCCACCCGGCGGCGCCCCCATCACCATCCTACATCTAGCATGCAACCAATAACTAAACCTCAACAATCCCCCCAACACCGACCTCGTCCTCATCGTTCCTCGCAACTCCATCACCACTCCCTTCCCCTCCCCACTCCCCGCCACCACTTCCCCCTCCTGCATCCTCCACTCCTCCGCCTCCTTTTCCGGCAACGCCACCTGACTCGCCACCATATGCACGCTCCTCAACGCCGACTCCCCCCTTCGCTCCGCGAACGGATCCACCGCCGCAGCAGCCACAAGCGTGTCCCCAAAGTAAAGGCTAAGGTCAAGCAGAGTGAAGACGACGTCAACTTTATGGTTGGGGTTGGAGAAATTGGCGAGCAGGGTGAGATCGGCGTTGAGCAGAGTGGTATTACTGTCGATGTCGATGTCGAGATAGGCGGCATTGAGGGTGGCTTGCTGGATATCGAGGTGGGGGTTGCGGGGGCGGAAGAGAAGGTAGATGATGAGGACGGCGAGGCCGCCGAGGATGATGATGGTCCATAGGAGGGCGCAACAGATGGCGGCGAACCAGGCGAGGGGGCTCGTGCGCTTTAAAGGCGGAGGCTTTAGGCGGGGCCGGTGGGAGGGGTACTCCGTTATTAGCTGGTGGTGCGAGCCAAGGGGTTTTGAAGGATGGGAAGGCGGGCTTGGGTGGCGCATGCTGATTTGAGGGAGGGAGGAATATTCCCAGGATACAATAACACATGAATAACACACAATAACACATGAATAACACGGGGAGGAATATTCCCTGTGTTACTGCGCCGTTTTTTTTTCTGCGTCGCGCGGGATATCGTGACGTGATTTCATTGGGTACGCACGTTCCTTTACGTGCGTAGTACTGATGTAATATTTTTTCGTTTTGGAGAGAGGAGGAGGCGGGGGTAGGAGGGAAGGAATCTGTGGTTTTGAATTAGGTAAAAGTGTGTGGCATGAAATTGAGAGAGTGAGGAGTGGTGTTAGTCTGGAGCGCAAGTAAAGCTTGGATTCCCATTGCTTTGCAAAGGGGAGTACAGTGTTTAATATGTTTTCATATATTATCTTTTTCTTTTGATGAGAAGAAATTTGATTGGAAAAAAGAGTATTTGAATCCTCAAGTGAAAGGGTTCTTAAAGGTCATGAAAAATGGATCCATTCAATTGAAAGGTTAAAATTCAAGATTAAAAGTTCGGATCAAACACTATAATAAATATTAATTTTGCATCACATATTGTTTGCACGAATCTCAAGAAAATTTAACGGATATAAGGTACATAGGAGTATGGCTAAGGTGGGCCTACAGACGGAAGGCCGAGAGCCTAAAGGCGGAAGACCAAATGTTCATCCACAAAAAATTAATGGCCCATCATCAAAAGGCTAAGCGTTCACTAAGCAGAATACTGCAAGATTTGTCCGCCTAGGTGCAATCCCCTTATACTTGGATTGGAGACAAATTGAGCGAAGGTCGTTTGAATCAAAGACTGAAGCTTATCGAGTTGAGCAACAGGTGACAAATAACTTCATGTCATAACTTGACTCAATGGAAGAATTTAGCATAATTAGGTATCTCACGGGCACCCATGGGATTCCTCATCTTGGGTCGAGAACTGGTCATAGCATGATCACATATAACACCCCGAAGAATCGACTCGTCAAGAAGTGAGCTACCTTATGGTGCTTCACCCTTTGCACGATAACCTAGTCTTGCTCTGTCGATAAGAATTCTTAATCCAAGTATCAAAAATTGACAACCAGACTAGAATAACAAACCAGATCCAAGTCAATCTAGCAAAGTTAGGCCAACCCGAAGACCATCAAAGGACGGTCGGTAACTCGATTCAACACATCCGAACAGACAGGTCTTATCAGACCAGGACCAACTGATCTCAGCAGACCGAGACATAGGGTAGCCGTACTGAAGGCCTATACATGTAAAATATAATGTAACACCCTCATTAAAATAGGCGCAAATATGTAACTTCATATGTTATATCCTCATTATCTATAAATAAAAAGATCATTTATTCGGAAAAGACCAATCAAGATTTAAAATTACTGTTCATTATTGTGTCCCCTATCCATTGGGTGGGATACATGTACAAATTAGGATTTAAAAATTAAATATAAATGTTTAAATAATAACACAATTGATATGTTGCTAAAAATCATATTGATACACATGAATTTCAGTGCATATTTTGATTGAAAGCTTCAAAAATTAAATTTGAAAATGCCTGCACACCAACCTATGATCAAGCGAATGGTCTCATGGAGACAAAATGTATGACATGAAAAATGATCTGACCCAAGCCAAGTGAGCCCATATTATGCACTTGAAGTATGCTAGAAGATTTGAAATCTATTTTAGGGGACCAAAAGATCTATAAATATGACAAGAAGTTTATAGGTAAATTAAGTGTCTCAACAAGCCAAATCGAACAAGCCCAATATCACTTAATTCATACATCATTAATACACTTATATGCTCATAAAACATCAAATGATCAAAGAGATCCCTTGAGGCCATTTGATAGAGTGGTAGGATCATGCGGTATTTATAGAGGATGTCATTCACAAAAATATAAATACAACCTCACTCTTCTTCATGAGAGAGGACTTGGACCAGAAAGAGAAAACTCAAGGAGCTCTAAGCTCTTGAGGGCTCATGGCTCCGCCACCACCACCAGACCGCCAATGACTAGTCGCTGCCTCTCAAGGTCTTGAGGGCTCATGGCTCCGCCACCACCAGACCGCCAATGACTAGTCGCTGCCTCTACCAGATTACTATTGTCTAAACACCACTGATGTCACCCTTTAATCATCGTCGTATGGTTGTTTCCACAATTCGATCACCACAACTCGACCATCATTGTCGTGTGGTCCTCGTCGGATCACAACTAATCATCTTCATTATTGATCCATCATTACCGTCGCCATACCACTGTAGTCTGGTCACCACTGCAGATATATCATCATTGTTAGGCAACCATCAATGCTATTGTCGAAACATCATTGTTTGATCGTGCCACCGCTGAACCACGACAACCTAGATGCCATTGTCGTTGTCGCCAAACTTCAACTTTTTGGCCACAACCAAATCACCATTGACACCACCAAACCACGTTTGGCTGATCTCCACCATCACCACCTCTGAAACATCACATTTTGACCATCGTAGCAGTCCAACCAAACTTTCCCAACCACCACCATCACCACTGTTTGACCACATCTGCAAGTTGTCGCTACCATCAAACATTCATTGTTAGGCCACCATCGTCTAGATTGTCAAACCATTGTCGTTTGACTGTCACCACTACTGGACCTATACTTCCAGGCCAACATCATCTCCATCATCAAACCATTACTCCCGATGATGCAAGCATCATATTTTCTAAGACACAACATCCATCATTAGTCTTCCTTCACACTAATTGGGTTGTTGCCACTTCCCTAATGTATTATGCCACTTCCCCCACTTATGTGATATTTCTTCTAGATACTCAAATGTTAGTAAAAAGTGTTGTAAACTACATCATCATAGTAGAATCATTTCAAATAGGTTGGCCTCATGATTTTTTTCCTTCGAGTTTTTCACATAAAAACTCATATTATTCCCTCTATCAGTTCTTCTTTTATTTATGTGTTTTTCGGATCTTCGTACAACACTTGAACATTAATAAATCACTCTATCTTCGTGAATTCTCCTGCACACAACATTTTGACCCCGTTTGTGAGAAATCGCTCTCACTCTTGCAAAATCTATAACAATCATTAAATGGCAAACAAACATAATACAACAAAAAATGAAGCCTTTTCCTCCAATGCTCACCATTCTATTCGATAACCGTAGATTCTGGAACATCAATCCTCTATTTTTCCCTCTTTAACAAGCACTATCATGCTAGTAAAGATGATTCAAGTATGTCTTTGGAAGACCGAGTGCATAGGATGTAGGAGTCTAAGAATGGGATTCTTTAGCTCCTATATAAAGTTTAGCAACCAATACTAACACAATCAAATGGATTTACATACCTCGAGATCAACCATCAAAGGAGAATGCCTCGCTTGAGAATGATTGTATGGGGCCCCTCTCCCAGCAATGACAGAGTTCCTCTACACCAGGCCAAGATGCCAACCTCTTTTATATTGCTAATTCTCTCAATCAATCTTGTACAAGCTCGCTTGTTTAAAACTCTATGATGCTTAAAATAAATTAGCACAACCATGTCTTACTGATTCTTCTCATAATATAATTCATGATGAGCTATGAAGAGTTCTCCTTAAGGGACAATAATCATTTCTTGACTCACCATAATCTTAAGGGTCTTCACCCATTACCTGAGATAGTCCTCCAACTACCTTTTACTAATGAGCTTCAAGCTCTTAGAGCCCATGGGAACTAATTCTAAAATGAGGGGCAATCTTTACCATAACCTCAAAAGACTGTTCACGTCAATGTCCCGAGCACAGTTATGGTTTATATATCAAGTCTATGAGAACCAGTTCTTGGTTGTGGGCAAATTTCACTATAACTTTGAATAATCACTCATGTCGACATTATGACGACAGTTAAAAATTATCAACATCAAAATATCATCCTTCTCAAGTCTTCTCATAAATAAATAAAATTTTACCAATACTTTTCAAATTGCATTCACAATCCCTACATAGACTTCTACTCCATAGACGAGAAAATATCCATAACCTCAAAATGACAATAATAGTCTAAATACAAACCAATTTTATGGTTGATAATCAGTACAATAGATCCTAGGGATTTGCTTTAACCCCTTCTGTACAAGTAAACGTTGCCAAGTAACATTCCAACAAACAACCTTGGATAGGCCATAAGCTCTTGGTTTATTTCCTTCAATCTCATATATACAAGTTAATGTTACTAAGTAACACGCTGACAAACAACCTTGGATTGGTAAAAAATTATTGGTGGATTTCCTTCGACCTCCTCTATATATGTTAATGTTGTAGACTAACACTCCAACCGACAACTTTAGATAAGTCAAACATCCTTGTTGAATTTTCTTAGATCTCGTCTGCAATTATTAATGCCAACGAGTAACACTTCGATTAACAAACACAAATGTGTCAAATATTCTTTGACTTATTATATACAGGCGAACATCTACGATAAACACTTTGACAAATGACCTTAGATATATCAAACAACCTTGGTGGATTTCATTTGATCTCTTTCAAATGGGCTAATGTTGTCGAGTAGGGCTCCAACAAAAAACCTCATACTGGTCAAATGTTCATGGTAGATTTCTTTCAATCTCATTATCGCACGACAACCATAATGTTGCTTGTGTACCATTATTCATTGATTGGTTCCCTTGTCTATCACTCTTCTATAATCATCTATATGCAATTTACATATCTTCTACTACTTAGTTATGATCATTGGACAATAACTATCATGTTTTAATACATAATGATTTAATCTACTTTAAAGAACAAAAATATTACTCACATCGGTATGAGACAACCACCACCACTAACATCACTATCGTTGAGCTACCGTCACTTGGTTGACACCTCTGCTATTGCTATATCACAGTCATCAGATCACCGTCATCCGATGACACCTTTAGATAGCCACCACAATCGCTTGCCCAATGATGTTGCTGTCAAAAGAGTCACTTCCGTCATTGTTAGACCATGATCACATAACTGTTGCCTTTAT